ATACAGAGGCGCGGAGAACATTCTTTGTATATGAGAACTCCTTGTACGAGAATGATTACTGCAAGGAATGTGAAAACAAACAAAAAACGCACTATGTTTCCTAGAATATATTTTTTATCCTGGATCAGCTGTATTATCTAACCGCAATAATTAATTTACTGATCTGGTTCCCAACAATGCAAACTGCACAATATTCTTTCCTTCATTGAGGACCTATTTACCTACATGCAAAATGCACTGGACTCGTTATAGCCTATCAGTAAAACAGTAAAAGTTACTTTATAAGACACATCGGTCAAGCGTTCGTAACTCCAATCAGCGTGCAATAAATCTCTTTCTTGCATCACGGTCTGCTTACTGCATACGATATAAAGGATTTACGATTATCTTTCAGTGTAGGAAGAGATAACACTTAGCCATTCTAGCTTATCATGGCCTAGATATCCACTTGCATGGTAACTTCTTCGTAATGACTGCCACAATGCAGATATTGCTAACGTTAGCGTATTCATGAAAGTAATATCTACGATAGAGTTTCAGATAAATATACTTTTTTCACGTACAGTGAGGAGCGAGCCGGTCTATTGGCAGAACGCGGGGCTTCGGGCCCGCGGTCTTGGGTCCAAATCCTGCCAATCACCCACGGGTCTTACTTATGTGCTAATGCCACGACCCTCTAGGTCTAGCCTGAAGTAATGTGTAATAAAGTTCCGGGCTAGAACCTGGCGTCCTAGGATGTGAAGGAGGGACATAAAAAAATGTTTCACTTACCTAGATGACTAAAATTAGGCGTTTTATTTAAATAAATACTATCAAGACTAAATACGAGATGGTATTATTTACAAACGAGTAACATAAGGCACTCATGATCTATAGTCTGTGTGGTGGAACTTGTCTCCTGACTTTCCGTCCACCTGGGGAGCGGCCAGTGGCCCAGGAGAGTCCTAGCATGTCAATTAAATAGTTAATGTTCCTAGGTAGACCTAGGGTCAGGAGACAAGTCCCGGCATGCAGACTATAGTTTTAGTGGTAGGTTTTCGAGCGCAGGACCAAGACCTCATTCCTCATAGGATGAAATCCTGCCAATCACCAATGGTTTTAATCTATGTAATAATGCCGTTGTTAAACACATTCGGTTTAGGTACTGTACACACATAAAACTCTTCATCTCTTCATCTTGAGCACAACTCTTTCCTCATTTAACAATAGATACTTATTGACAACCCAGCTGAACACAGTCAGTAAAAAAGCTGTCGTCTCATCATTCACTCATTTCGGCTATATCTCTAAATATCTCTAATCTCTAAAAAAAATAGGCCTTGGACGAGGAGAACCTTCTCCATTATTGGATACTCCTCTCTATCCAAAGCTATATAGCCTAGTAGTTTGTTTATAACAATTATTGTAACATAGCTAACAAAGCCTTCAACATACCAAACCCAGTCAATTCACTAACAGAAGTCGCGTATACCATCTAACAAGAGAAAATATCGGAATCCACGCAAACCAATGTGTCTTCCAGAAAGACAATTACATAAACCAGTGAAGCATAGATACAGCGACACAGATTCAAGTCGTCAGTTTGTCAATTTATACCACATATGCGTCGTTGGTTTGTGGAATGGAAAATTCCTCATTGTTGCGGAAGTGAACGTGTAAACGCTTTCAACCGTTACCAAACATGAAACACACATTAAAACCAGTTTCATTTATTTATAACTCGATGAGCAGTCTACAAGCAAGCATTAAATTTGAAGAATTGAATTTATTTATAGTGTTATCTTGACCTGAGGTCTAAATATATCGCTGTAAATGTCATTTACAAGACGCCGAATTCCCTGCGGAAGGATGTAGACTTCTTTAAGTGGTTTCGTTGGCATTTCGTGTTCTTTATCATTGATCGACATCAAAGCATCATTATTCTGGGAAACAACCACCTCACGACCTTTGATGTTAATAACTATTGTACACTGATTCTCTGATATAAATGTATTTGGAGCAAGTTCTTATTTTCCTAGTAAAACTACGCTGCGGGATATTTAAGTTTGAATAAAATTTGTCATTTAATAAGTTACTGAAATGTATGGATTTTGTGTTGTTGGAGGTAAAAGAATTGAATTATTAGAGGAAACTTTAATTTGACCGTTTGTCAATAACAATGATGAATGAAACGCCGGAGAAATTTCCATTGTACCGTACGCTAAGTATGGAATATTTGCTATCGATATTCTTGGCCCTAAGCTTATTTACGTTTTTAAAGCCGCGTTTACACCGGAGTTTGAAACACGAGTTGCAAACAGAAATTGCAAACATCTCTAAAAACGCACATTTTTAGACGAAACATTTCGCTGTTGCAAACAGTTTTTCAGTGTTTACAACAGAAATTTTTGTTTCCACTTGAAGTCGGTAAAGATCAAAGGGAGCTGCAAACTCTTTGTTTGCAACACTAGTTGCGGTCACTACGAGCCGTTGAAACACAAAACAGAAACATTTCTCTGCCATCCCCTACGCTACATCCTACATCATCCACTCTCACTCACGTGATCACTGCGACCCTGTGTCTCGACTCAGTGTTAAAATCGGAAAAATGCTGTTTGACTGTCAATGAATTAACACTAACCTCAAATGTCAAGGTCGTCTAATTTAAAAATAACAATAACGTCTCATGTGAATTAAAAGGGTTATAATTAAGTCCTTGTAATCTTTAAAAATGAATAATAATTTTAATTTGATTTTTTATTCAATTGCCGATGTTCACCCAGCATCGTCTCGGCCTACGTTGCTTTGACAACACGACACACGCCGCCGCGGCTACAATAACATCCTCGACACTTGACATCCTCGGAAGGACTGATCCGAGGAACCAGAACGAGGCGAGTCATAATCAAGGTCGAAATTATTTCAAACAATTTCATGAAACATGGAAACAAATCATGAAATAAAAATTGCAAACATTTATTTGAAACTGCTGTTTGCAATAAAAGTTTGCAACTTTTTGTTTGAAACTCCGGTGTAAACGCGGCTAAGACAGCAAACATAATTTGTGCAATAAAAAAAATTATTATGACTACATTTTATAATACCGAAGGAACTTAAACGGTGTCATACATAAGGATTGAGTCTTTGTCTTGAATGTTCATGGACCCAATCGCACGTATCTTAACTACGACAGTGACGAAATAATGTGGTTGTATTATAGACTCAATGTCAATGCATGCGTTGGGGGTGCAGAACGAGTTGGTCATTTGATTAGCTTTGTTACTGACTATAATATGTGATTAATTTACCCAGAATAATTTATAACACCCCAATGTTTGTGGGCTTGTGGATCCAGTTTCGAACCTTAAATACCCCCGCCCCAGCAAACCTGCAAACCAAGCGATTTTTACATAACTGTATTTAAAAACATCTTCCAATTTGTCCCATTTATTCCCTATTTTAACACTAGAGCTAACGAGTAATTAGGTTTGCTGCTATAGGGAAAGAAAAATACTTTCGGTAATGTGTTAATAGTATAGCATAAATCTGATCAAAATGTATCCAAACAAGCATATTAAACCTACAACAGCTTACTCTTCCCACGTAAAAATAACTTAGAAATGTAAGTGCGCAGTTTTTTTTACATTTTCTAAGCAAACTTCAGTCCTACAACAACGTTTAAATAAACAAAAGAATTTGTTTTTAAGCTCTACTCGATGAAATAAAAATTGGGTATTTGTTATGTATAAAATGTGTCTTAGAAAAATAATTACTAAACGCAGGTTCTTGAACTTATCCTGCATTACAATTCTTACAAAATCTCATAAACATTGGACCAAAGTTACTCAAGTTTGCGTGTTCACAACTATATGCAAATATAAAAATTTTAACGAATAAACTGTGACCAAGTGTTTTTTACCTCTGGGAACATCAAAATGACAAGTAAATCGGTCAAGGCTTAGGTCTTGCCGTGTTACCTAAGGCAATGGATTTTCCCTATAGGGAAATTCGCTAAAAGACTTTGCTTAGTTTCGAAACGGCGACTTTTGTTTGATTTGGAAATCACTAGCCTATAGCCAACGCTACCAAACGTATTAATTAATTTATTCTTTTAAGAGTAATTAACTGAACTTGGAATCGATCCTTCTCTCATCATACACACGAGTAGGAACAAGAACCGTAGGAAAACTACCTTGAGATTTTAAAATCTCGTAACTCATGGAAACCACTTTAAACACAAACATAAACATTTTACGAGTGCTTTATGTTCACACCCTGATTCTAAAGTGACAACAAAAACATACGTGAACATGCACAGCAATAACAATTTGTTTATTATGTTTTATCAGCTCAATAAAACTGTGTTAAAACCAAATGTTGTTTGAAATTTTCCTAGTGTTATGAAACAGAACGTGTGCATTAGAATCAGTCAAAGTCATTGTCTTGTTGCTTTATAATTTTAAAGTGGGATTCTAGACGCTGAACATTTTGAGCTAAAATAATTAGAAGCTAAAATATGTTTATAAATTATAATTGGCTTAGACATTTCTTCCTTCTCATTGTTTGACAATTGATTTAAGGGCTATAAAAATCGTTTAGTAAGGTTTTATCCATTTATGTATTGGGAATAAAAATAAGTTTCTAGAAATAGTAGAACCAACCAAATACTTTGCTTATGTTTAAAGGAGTTAAAAATTAAGAGTCAAATAAATTATTTACCTATTAGTCACTTTTGGGGCCTTTTTCAGAATAGGGGTGACACTTTATAAACTGTGGAATAACCACAGTTTAGGTTAGGGTAGGTTAGTTTATAGTTTTACTAACACTTTTTTATTTAATGAACTGACACGATCACAAAAACTCAAAAATCACCTAACCTTTACTTTTCCACGATTTAGTGACGACCCTCTTCTGAAAAAGACCCAACCTTTGAACCTTTTACTGGTGAACACCAGCTATTTTTCTTTGTATTGTATTTAAACTAATCAGTGTTGAGTCTAATTTGAATTTCGGTGTTTCAGGCTTGTCTAACGCCCCCATGGACACCCGCAAGTACTTTTCAGACGTAGAGGAAGACTTGACCAAAGTCACATGGGTCCACAGATGTAATTCTCGGGCGGATCTGGAAGCTGCCCTTAACAGTGAGTATAACCATGGACTGCAAGTCAATTAGTATTACAAGGTTCATGAATGGTTGAGGTAACTGTAGTAGGTAACTGTAGCGCAGGACTTTCGTCCCGAAGGGACGAGTTAAAATCTCACCAATCGCTAAACATTTAAAGCCATTTGATAATAGTGTCCCAGTGGTTCAGAACCCAAATCTTGAGGTGTACCTATTGAGTAAAACATAATATGTTTCTCAGGCAAAGAACATTTTTCATTTATTGGATATTTCCATTTTGCATACAGTCATACACAAAGTTTAAATATTAAAGTGGGTGTTTAAATTACGGTATACCAGGATGGATATTTTGGAAGGTAAATCATAAATACACATTTTTCAAAAACATGTTTATGCATCTTAGTTAGTATAAAAATCAATATAATATGAATGAAGTATATGGATAATCGATGCTACCTTTGATTGATTTAAAAGGTTTTATTTTGATTTTATCAATTGACTATTTTATAGAATTTGTTCTGTCATTGTTTTTCAACAGAATTCGTAGCGCCTTCTACTACCGGATGCAGCCGGCGCTCTGCTAAGAGTTGTTACTGGTCAAAGCTGTTGAAGGCGTCAGGGAAATCCCGTTAAATATTTTATCGAAATTTTAATTTTGAGTGTTAAATAATCATTATAACGCGAGCAGTGAAAATTTAGTCAATAATTTTCAATTATCAAAAATATATAGAGCTAATAGATGCTTAACTTGAAATCGTGTCCACATAAAATTCCAAACAACACATACAAATTGATTTTCCTTAAAAAACTAAAATTTCATTACAGTTTTCGGTTAGCTCCCATTAGCTTTCAACATCTAATTTGAATAAATCGTTACTTCTTTTGTCTACATTAAGGTCTGTAAATGAAATACAGTCGTAAAGGGGGAGTGGAAATTATTCTGAAATTATTCATGCAACCCTATCCTATCCCGCAAACTGTTAACACTGTAATAATACATCATATCTGCAGAAAATATCTGTGTATTATCTCTAGCCGTCATGCAATTCACTACTTGTAAGGAAGGAATTTTAATTTTCTATATTTTGTTATTAGCAACAAACTATAATTTCATAAGGTACAGAAACAAATTCTAACTGTGGACTCAAAGATATTTTTGAAAATTGGCCGCTTTCATAATATGGAAGAAATGATTTATATAACATAATATCAACCACACTAATTAATTTAGCTATTAAAACATGAAAAAAATATTACTATATCTTGACACAGTGGGTAATTTTTATGTATACATCTATATAAATAAAATTAGAGTTTTGTGCAATAAAATTGTTTGTTGTAAAATTGTATACTTTTTAATATTTTTTAAATATTTTCGTAATATTTTTTTTTTACATTGACAATTTTTGCCCTTTTACCAAGCTTATTTTCTAGTTTAACTCAAATCAGTTGGTCAAATATTTGATAGAAAATAAACGACTGAATATTGACCATCGGTTTGTTTAAGTCCGGGATGTCTTGAAAAAAAAAGACAAATATATTTTTTTCGTCTGCCCACACAATATTGGATAAAATGGTTAAAACGTTGTAAATAATTATATTCACATATTAAAAATAATAATTTAAATTTATTTTTCTGTTTGTTTTTTAACGTTTTATTGCCAATTTATGAGTTTCAACAAATTTGCTTGGATACCACATTTAATTACAGACATCACAGACATTACATTTACAGACATTACATTTATATATGTGATATAGGTAATTAGTCTACTCAAATTATACAATTTAATAAATTTGTCTTGGATGTACAATATGTTTTGCATATGTTGGCAAATTACATTTTAACGTTTGTGACCCTAAAAAAAAATATTGGTTTATCAGTCTGCTGAGTTTTAAGAAAGTCGAGGGTAGTGACCAAGCGAAGGCGACGAAATCGATGGAATGCAATTTTTAAAGATGTCAGAAGATAAATGATCCCCTATTCATAACCAAGCATTTTTGTGTGTCATTGGGCGTTGGGTGAAAAAGCTTTACAATAGCTTCATAATTTACTATAGTTTTTTCTCTCTGGCTTTAATCGTTTTGGATAAGAATGCATCCAATATTGATTCTTGTTTGACCAATAACATATTTTTTTATTATATACATCTTATATGTAAAATAAATAGGAAAGGTAGTCCAAGAAATGGTTCTAAAAGTTATAATAAAGAGATGATTATTATAAACTAGTAATTTACCCTAAAATTCAGTGCCCATTTATCTGCTAACAATTTATTAATTATATTAGTATATTTTTTTCTTTCACATTTCAAAACCAGTTTTTATGAAAGTCACCTATCCAATTTAAAGAAGAATAAAATTGAATTTTTAACCTGTGTTTTGAGATGATTAAGCCTGAGTGTTCAATGAATGGAATGAAAGTGTTGATATAAGTTGTTTCTCACTAAGATTAGCTGGTTATTTAAGCTTTAGCCAAATGGGCAATAGTAAAAGACAGCCAAGTGCAGTTTTGATTCATAAACCAAGCTAATGCCTTTACAAGGATTAAACCAGAACCTCCTGAATAGTATTTAAACAACACACAACCAATCAGCTACCAAGCTTCAATGAGAAATGATGTAATGTAAAGCGGTTCTAATGTTGTAATGTTGTAGGTGATGTGATGATGATAGAGGCAGACATCATATCAGGACATCTAGAGAGCGATACAGGAGGAGAGCCTATACCTGTGATGGGACACCCTCCTTCTACAACTAGTGACATTTCACTGGAGCAGTTTCTGCATAGGGTAGGAAAAACAATTCTTGATTTGTCTAATTTTGTGTGTGTGGAGATAGTTAAATACCCCCTCCGCAGCAAACCTGCAGACTAAGCGAATTTCCATGTACAAGGCTGGATTTCTATTAAAATATACCCTAATTGTCAGATTTATTTCCTATGAAAAAAAAACATTAATTTTAATGAGTACCTTGGTTTGCTGCTACAGGGAAGGTATTGAGGTGTGTTTTTTATTGAAATGTTGATAGCTTAGTATGAAATAAACAAAATTGCCAAATTTGATTAAAATATTAATCAAGAATATTATCACATGTGCACAATATATGTGCGCATATGTGCACAAGATAAACAAGCAAACTACAACAGTTTAGTTATTCACCATAAGAATAACATGGAAATTGTAAATTTAAAGTTTTTAAAATTATCTCCGTAACCGTTAGGCATACAACAATGCTTCAATATAGGCTAGACAAAATTTTTTCTAAGCTCTCAAAATGATCTAGAAAGAAATTGTGAAATTTTATGTTTTTACAGTCAAAAATGGGAAAACCCAATTTTTACCACGAGTACTACGGTAATAGCTTATTCCCTATATGGGAAGTTCGCTAAAACTGATGATCCATCTTAAAATCTACTTATTAAAACATATAAAATGCTTTATTAACTATAAAATATCGATGAAAGAGCTCAAACCTTTTCCCAATGATAATGTGAACCATCCTTGGTTTTAGGTGCTGGAGAAGAGAGCTGGAAAAGGCATCAAGCTGGATTTCAAAAGTACTGCAATCTTCAAAGCATCGGAAAATGTTTTAGAAGAATTCTTAGCCAAAGCTGAGGTAATTAAAAGATAAATTTAGTTTTAGTAGTATCCTAGTTTTGATGACTATAAGAACCATTCTTACATGAAGCGTTACGTAAAGTGTGCCGTCCCACATAAAGTCTTACATTTGGACATGTTAAGTTAGTTAAAATTTTACATGATATCTTTTTCTACTGAACTATCTCATATTTAACACATCATAGAAAACAATTCTAAAAAGGCTTTTATTCATTGGGCTTGGAATCAAATGGTGTCAGTCATTAATAAAACAACAAAAATCTCACAAACCCATCCTATGTGGGTTAAAATATGCCTAATTTTGGTTGATTAAGATTAAGCTGTAAATATTGCAAATTACTGAGTTGAGTTTACCATCTCAATAACAAGCTCCGTAACTGGTAGCATCTTAGCTGAGAATCCAGACATTGTTCGCTCAAGACCAGTTTATACCACTCGATTATCCAAATGGAAATGCTTCATACTGTAATAGTACTTCACTGTATATTTAGCTGACCCCACAGAACATTAAGTTTATCGTATGAAGCAGTTTCAAAAATTAACAGTAAAAGTTAATAAATTTGTATGTTCTTTACTTTGTAAAACAATACATTAAGTTACTGACTCTGACTTCTGACTTCCAACCTCATCCCCTTCCAGGTCGACTTCCCAGTATGGATCAATGCAGATATCCTGAGAGGTCCCGGGGTGCCGGAGTCTCGCAATGTTGTTGATGCCAAGTATTTCCTGGAGACATGTGTTGACAAGTTTCCTATTGCCTACATCAGTCCTGGCTGGGCAGTGGACACAACGTCTGCAAGGCACCGTAGGTTGTGTAGAAGATAAGTTAGTGTAAGAGGAAAAACTTATGTTTATGGTTTAATGACCATCCCATGGCAAAAGACAATGCTTTACTAGACGTTATTTTAGTGGCTTATTGCACAGAAAACATACAACTATAACCCAGAATGCTAACCGCATGGTAAAAAGCGTTAAGTATGATTGAATGATTGAATAGAGTGTGGGACCTTTCCAATGGAGGCATCCCTAACCTGAAAACTACAAATGTATTTCAGATTCTAGCTACCTGATAATGCCGACACTCGATGATTAAAGACCAACCATAAGCTTTAAGTCCATGTGTAATGTGAAAATATTTAAATAAATTAAAAAAAGAACTGTTACTATATTTGAGACCCCCTTTATGAAAAGACATTAAATCACCAGGACTGTACATCAGAAAATATATGTTTATTGATCTTAACTTTTATCTAATCTAACTTCTGTGATATGGAAGAATTTTAACTTTCAGGAAGATGCGGCAACAATGTCGCTCGCCTAAGACATTTATAGTTTTGGTGATTTTCAACTCAATAGCTTGTAATTTTGCAAAAATGACTAGTAGAGACTAGCCTTCAAGACTATAATATATTGCTTACTGGTGGATCATTTTCTGTGGAATTATAAAGTCAAGTAATGCAATTTAATTTTCATTGAAACCTGATTCAATGTAATACTTTCATTTGTCTTAGATGCTTTTGAAAATCACACTGCTAAAAATGTTTTTACTATGTTTATTTCCACTGCCCAATCACATATGAAATACCACCCTAAAATATTAACTTCTTTATTGTCAGATAAACTCATCATAGAATGTTATCCCTCATGATATTTACATGGTTCCAGTAAGGTATGAAAAGAAACACGTCGATGAGATGACTACAGTGTTGTCCGAAGCAAATGTTGTTCACGGAGTCACGTTTCCTGTTCACTCCGGCATCGCCTCCAACTCCGTCGATGTTCTGACCAAACTGATCAAGACTTCTGTGGAAGGAACTACGCTCACATTATGGTCAGGGAAGAATGAGTGGGTCGACTATGGGAACCTGAGGAAACTTATTGAAGGTGTTGGGAGGGAGAAGGTTGGTAACAAAATCATTTCTTATTGTCAAATACAGTTTAGGGCGAAATATATAAGAAGTTTCGCTCACATAGTACTTCGGCCATTGGCCACTCATACCATTTGAGTAGGAATCCCTATACATAGACCAGACTCGAGGTTATGCAGTGTGTGTGTATTTCTAAAACGAGAAAGTGGCTGTGACCCATAGGAGATTTTGTCCGGGACTTTGTATTCTTTGCAGCTAAACTGTTCATATTGCAAACACAATACAATCGTTGGTTGAAAAGTTTGCTTACACTAGATGAACCATGTCATTGCACGGAATAGGAAGCCACCAGCAAACATCTCCTTGGGGTCACAACCAATGACTTGTTGTTTCAAAAATACACACACACCTCGCTACGTTGTACTGTCCAAACCATGATTGCCCCTAAAATGGTGTGAGTGGCCAACAGGACCGACGTAAAAATGGGCCCAGGGATCAACACAGTTTATGTTTGTTGGAGTCACAAGAAAGAGAACAATACACCTCAAGGTAGGAGGAGAGGGTCTCAATTATCTCTCGGATCCATAGCAAATCACATGCAAACCACGTGGCTGATAACAATGAGACCAATAGTTTCCGCTTATCACATACACAGCCAAAGTACTGGAATTGCTTGATAATTTTTTTTATTTTCCCCACCGTTTTTGTTGTTGGTCGGTTAGACTCCACCATGGATTAAGCCTTGGCTTTTGATCATAGTAGATATAACATTCCCATGTTACAGTGTTTGAATAAAAATTAACTGATTAACCAATTCAACTATTCAGTGGCTTAAACCACTGACAAAGTGAGCTGATGCTGCTAATTTCTGTTGAGACTTTTTAACCGTCAACCGAGCCTAACTGAAAGTGCAAATTATATTAAATTCCATTTCTTTAAAGTCACAGCTAACTATCGTCGTAGTATCAAAGGTTATGAGAGAAAAGAGTATTTTGAAGTGGAACACTCTGACTTGCTGACTCAACTTGGTTTTATGTGAATAACACTGGCTACAGCTTGTCCATAGATGTGATGTCTACTTTGGGACTATCAAACCGCAAATGTTCTAAATCACCATAGTATACTTTGGAGGAATTAGATTAGGAAAACATTAAGGAACAAGGCATGTACAAATAACTCATCGGAAAGTACCCAACACTCCAGGCAGTTCATAACACACAAAAAGTTCACCACAAGTCCCCGCTTCTCTTTTGGGGATTTTTCGAGAGAAAGTAGTAGAATGGCAGTTACAATATCATCACTGATTAATCAGTTTTAAATCAGTTATGCCAACACTGGTGTTGATATTGCTATTCTACTACGTTCTGAGGATACATTTTTCTAGGAGGTGAACATATTGTAAACCTGTTAGTGCGATCAACTCCCTGGAACTCTTTTCTGCAAGTAGTTGTGTATACACTCCTTCTGCAATTGTATGGATTTCATATTTCCAGTTTCACATTCATCAACATAGACCTTATTTACAACTTGAAATTGTTTTCAGGTTTACATTGACATGCCTAAGGAAATGCTGGAAAAGCTCAACAAACCAGATGAGTCTGAATCTAAAGGAGCTGCAACAACAAACACTGTTGGAATTGCAAACATGTTGTTGGTTCTCATAGGACTTGTGTGTACTATTTTACCCTCAACGCACTAATGCATTAAGATCTTGTACAAACTGTATATTGACATGTTAATGTTAAGAGAATACATTGTTGTTAAATGATATGCTTTTAAAGGTGTGGAAAAGTTGACTGGTGCATTTTCTGGGCTCCACTTTTGTCTGTTTATTAAAGATTCAGGTACAAAGATAAACACATTTGACACTATTTGCTTCTAACATTGTGTGTGTTAGTGTACATGATTAGTGCCGAGTAATTGATACACAAAAGAAAATCAATTGGAGCTTGGAGCCCACAAAATGTTTAAGAGAAAAACGCTTTCTTTTTGGTAGGAAATTACACTATTACACTGTTTATAGTATGTATTGTAATATTATTTCAGAATTTATTTTAATTATACACATCCTCTTTGTATAATAATGATCCTGGTCATTCTTTGGTTGGAGAGGGAACAGAACTATCCATTTTTCCCTATCTCCAGTTTCTCTTCCTACACCATCTGCCATCTCACCCTTCTCATCCCTTTTTGGCTCATCTGTTCACCTTAGACTTTAATGTCTCTAAACATTAGGACCTTATGCACCTGAATATGTGTTACTGATAAAGGCTTGCTGTTTGGACGGTCTTAAGGTTAAAATTAGATGAAAAAGCTTACATACTGATTATCTGATTTATGCTGCCTTTTAATGCCCCAAGGGTAAAACTGGAACCAAACTTGTCCATGTATAAGTTATTTAATGATCTGAGAACAAATACTAGTGTGGAGATAGTTGTATTCTATACATGTGCACTAAAAATCACTCGTGGTTCATGTAGATCCATGTAGATTCATGTAGGATACATAGGATAAATTTGTAATTAAATAAAAAGCAAGAACATGAAGGCAAAATATTTACCAGGCATCCTTTTACATGTAGTTAATTTACTAAAGTAAATAAAATACTACACTGTAATAAACTATCTTATTTTGTGTAAACATAATATTTCCTCATACATTAGGTTTAAATGTAATATATTTTGCCCATGTTATAATGTTTTATTGTTTTAAGACTTATTAATTTGTGATTCTGAAGGTTTTTTATAAATTGAATATTATTTTTAAAAAAAAGGCTCTCCTACAACAATGAATTTTTATTACTTATTATTATTGTAATCAGGAGGCAAAAACAACAAAAATGAAATGAATTTTTGATCCTACTTACATCAGATTATATAGGTACTGACTTTACATAAGAATATTATGTATCATACATATATTTCATATTCATCAACTAATTAAGTATTTTGCTATGCATGTTAAATGGGTGCCACCTAGTCATATATACTATTTCATTCAATTTGTTGCAATTAAAGTAAATATTGAATTCAAAGCACATAATTGTACTATGTTAGTCAATGTTTAATGCTACATAAATTAAATCAAAAGTTTTCTGACAAAGATAAATTTATAGTTTTTAGGTTAGCATTTTACACACTTTCCAACCTCTCTAGGATATGTATTTTAGTATATATGTATTTTTAGTTTTAAGTTTTGAGCAATTTGTAAATTTGCATTTTACGTGTTTATTCGCTAAAAATAGGTTTAATTTGAATTTTGTACAAAACATCATCAAGAAATTTTGATTATCAAGAGTTTTATTTTCCATTTTACCCTTATTCTTCTTCATTTCCAGCAATATTGGCAATAACTGGAAGTAGTTTCTTGCTACAGTAGTTTCTTGCTACCTACAGTAGTTTCTTGCTACAGTAGTTTCTTGCTACAGTAGTTTCTTGGTTATTTACAGAATTATATTCTTTACTTAAGAATACAACTTTTGAAATAAAAATTGAATGACTGTACATGACATAAGAACTGTTATTGATTGCTGTTTGTTTATGTACTAATGCTGTACGTCATACTACAGATATTCCTCTTGTTAATCAGGTGATGTGAAAAAGGACAAGAAAACAAAGACATAGTATACCAGCCAGCATGTACTCATTTTTATGGTTGTTACTCATAACACCAGTATGCCGGTCTTTTGAATGGTCAAGTATCATGGATTAATATCAATTAATATATTGTTTGTAATATTAAACAAAAAACCTAGAATTGAAAGGTGCTTTATGACGAAATATCTTCACAAGAGAGTAATAAATCTTGTTCCAGGGTAAGGACGAAATATTCCCTTGCAAACGATTTGAATGTACAGTTATTTAAATCATATTTTTGGGCTGAATAGAAGTTAGAACTATATTTAAAAAACGTTTGAAATATTATTTATTACAATTGGTCCCTTCAGCGCTCATGAGAATAAGGACTTAGAGAACCATATAAAGAATGATACTACAGTATCAATGAAAAGCAACCCAAGTTCAAAGATGTGATTAATTTAATTTTAATAAATGATTCAACCAACAGTCTATCAATCATGGTAAGTAAATAGTACTTATTATATGGAAAAAGTATCGTTTTGTAATGACTCAAAAATCATTGTTTGTACAGTACAGTACAGTAGTAATTAATTAAAATTCCAAAAACTGAACCTTGTCTGCATTTTAATATTTATTCATCTTAATCTAATCAACAAAGCAAAAATGTATTTGCCTAGATTTCCCCAAATAACCTTTGTTCATATTAGTAAAAAAATGTCTCAACATATATGCAGTTTATAATAAAAATTTATTCATCGTCTTAAAATTTATCATCTATTAAAAGTTATACATTTAACATACCATCCATAACTTTAGATACATTATAGATTGTCAAGAATATAAATAAAATTCAACTCATGTTTTTAAGTATGTGAACCCCATAAAATGATGAAGAGATGATTGACAATAATGAACAGTGTGAAAAATGTTTCCAAGAAGAACAGATCAACTAACCTAATCATTAATACAATTGTGAAATTTTAATTAAATTATAAAATAGTGTTACTTATAATATTGAACACCAAATTGAAGAAAGAAGAATAACATAACCCCGAAGACAAATTACTTATAGAAGATTGGTGAGAACTTTCCATTTCATTATTAAACTAAGACTCCTTCAGCATACATTTTGGACTAGACATACCTCGATTTAAAAGTCAACCAAAGGAAATAAAATTCAATCAAAATCAAAATCTTACTTAATGATTGTTTCCAAATTATTGATTGATTTACAATTTATTGAATTTTATTTTAGGCCTAAAGGAAATCTTTTGATTCAACAGGAGTTTTAATAACTTTCAATGTCTAGTTAAAACATCTGTCCCTCATTATTACTATTATTTAGTTAAGATTAGACTAATTAACTTATAAAAATATCAAATACCCCCGCCGCAGCAAACCTGCAGACTAAGCGAATTTCAACTTGTCTGATTACATTTTTACTAAAATATTTCCATAAATAAGACATATTTATTCCCAATTTAAATGACGTTAGATTTAATGAGTGCTTAGGTTTGCTGCTACGGGGAAGGTAAAAAGTGTTTTTTGACCATACGTCAATAATATAAGATGAAATAAATAAATTTTCAAAATTTTATCAACATATATCCATAAACAAGTAAACAACAACAGTTAAAATTTTCTCCATAAGAATAGCTTTGGGAATTTAAAAATACATTACTTTTGAATTCTCTCCATGACCGTTAGGCATACAACAGCGCTTCAATATACTAAATTATTTCTTTTTTAAGCTCTACAAAACGGTTAAAAAGAAATTGAAAATTTTTTGTTTTTAAGGTAAAAAAATTGGGAAATACCCATTTTACCACATAAAACATCCCATAAACCCCCGTTCCCATGGTCCGATCGTTTGTACCAAATTTCATCAAAATCGGATCATTTAATCATTTGATTCGGGACCTCAAAACGAAAAATTAAATCGGTCCCGGGTCCAGGTCTTACCATGAGTACGACGATAATAGCTTATGCCCTATATGGGAAATTCACTAATATAGAGGTTTATTTCAGTTTTCGTAAAAATTTTAAAATGTTTTTTGAGTGGATATATCAGTATTTTTAAAAATTTTGATTTTTTTTATTGAGATTTCTTCATAAAACCCCATAACATAACGATAAATCATTTTCACAAAAATAGCCCGAACGATTTTGAAAAAAAAACTTAGTACGTTGTAGCCTTATAAATTCTGAACAAAATGGTAGAACTCCCATTCCTGTAAAAATAACGGCTCTAAGTTATTGTAACTTATGTTATTTTCTCTTTAAAAACCCATGAAATATAAGATAAAATTGTATTTTAGATAAGAAGCCGGTTTTGATTAAAATAATTATGTGATGTTCATAATTCTTAACAACATAGTGCAATCCCCCCTCCACTTTCTGTAAAAGTTATTGTTCAAAAGTTATTGTTACCTTTCCTAAAAAAAAAAAAAACGGAAAAATGGATTTTTTAAAACCCCGTTCTGTTTAAATTTGGTCTGTTATGGTCTTTTCAATTCCAAACAAAATAGCGCAACCTCCCCATTCCTGTAAAAATTACGGTACAAAAGATAATGAAATTTTTGTGATTTATTTCTATTAAATGTTGTAGTTACTCTCATTTTCCACGATAAATGTTGTTGACAAGCTAATGGGGAAAAGTTTATATCAGATTGCTGATACCGTTTATTTCAATATATCTATTAATGTTTATGGATATTGTCTTTGCTTATTTGAGTAAACGTTTGACATCAGGTGGTCCATATACATAGGATGTCTACTTTAAAATCCAAATTGTTTTTGACTATGCATAGCCACAGACATGTAGCAGCTTTATTAGGTACCTTTTCTGTGATTTTAGTAAAGTGCACATGCCAACTGTGTAAACGATAACTAGCTTGTGTTAGATAACTCGTAGAAGAGATGTACCTTCCATGTCTTTTGAGATGGTCAAATTACACAAGAAATTGGACCCACCAAAGATTGACTATCTTGCAATAACTGATGACAACTGTCCAAGAAATAGGCTACATAACAGATTTACAGGATACTAAATTGTTTATACAAATTTAAAATTTATTTTTCTCCCCAAATTAGAATATTCGGTAAACTTTATCATGGCAACAAGTGTCAGTTTTGAAGTTTTACAAGAAGTAAGTTACATCAATAAGACCACTCTCTGAGGTTTAGCAATCTACCTTACCATTCAAGTTGGTGCTGCACTCTGGACAGGAAGCGAAGGAGCTAACAGTCGTGCCAAACAGCCACAGAATCTTGCTTCGTTTTTTGTTGCAACAAATGAATCACATTTAACAAGATTTTAAGATATGATTGCATATCTTAGTTCAACGCGTCGTTTTCGATGTGTAACTGTGGTGTGTATAAATGTGGAGTTTTCGGTGTTTATCCTTCTTGGGAATTTATTTAATAATTGTAAGTATTAAAGTAAATAATTATACACATACACAACAACACTGTTCTAGGAAACACTAGAGAAACATGGCTTTTATATATAATTTAATTTAGGTTTGATTTGTTCATGTTTTAATACTCTAATTTATAAGGTGAAATTCAGACAAAACATCAGCCGACCTAAATTAGAACACGAATTTTAAAACAGAGTTTCGAATTGTCCTTGTACTAATTTTTGTTGTCTTATGATGAATGAAAAGATTAAGATTACTGATAAACTACAAATATTATCAGTACACTATATTTGTTACTTAGTAAAATTATTATAGCACTAACATGGTAATAATTCAAATACTTGAGATATGTGGGCTTCCTTAACACGTTTGAAGCTTGATTACCAATTGATCGTTTGGTGATGCTTGATGTTTGTTCTTGTTAATCAGCCAACTATCTCTAGATCTCTATCAGTTGTAAGATCATTATGCGGTTGTAGACCTATGCGTTTCGTCTTGTTTTTTAAAATATGATTTTATAAGTTTCACTTTATAATTAGTTTAATATTCGCTAAGAACTTTAAAACTCTGAAATCTTTTATTGATTTCAACCTTATGATATTAATGACCTTATATTAAACGTCTTTTATTAAACGTTTAAAACCTTTACCACTGTAATCCTATTTAAGAACAATGTATCTCTTTGTCTCTGCTTTGCTGAACCAGTTTCAAATGGCTTCTAGCCATCAAAAAAACTACGTTGGCTAGGATTGAACTGGTTATAATATGATTACAAGGGAAGTATTCTACTCAGCTACCCAGCTAATGCACATATTCCCCAACCTAAGTTTAAAACGATGTATTCATGAAAAAACCGTGAGTTTTACTAAAGTCATGCTTTCTGGCAACAGGTAGGAAACGAAGAAAACTCAACTTGTAACAACTCAACTGAAATGAACAACTCAACAACCAAGATAGACAATATAACAACTGTTCAAGACAACTGTACAGCTCTCGATGACGTTGGGGTTGAAACTTCCCCTAATAGTTCTGTGTTCGTCTGCATGAGTGAGCTGGAGCAGGAACCCACGACAATAGAGGTATGTGTTTATGTTTAATAGATTACTCTTTTTTGTTGCATTCAGTAAGAATTTGTTCTAAGCAGAGAATTGTTTGTTATCTAAACTGAGTTCTAAATTAATATGAGTTTTGTTCTTAGCGACAAAGAAATATTATCGTCAGAATTTTTATGTAATGTTTTATTGTTTTACGTATTGCCTTCAGCTACACATTAAACACCTCATGTAGGTTTGTAAT